ACACACACACGCACACACACACACACACACAGACACACACACAGAGACACACACACAGTCACACACACACAATGAGAGTCACACAGTGAGATCTGAAGGTCACAGAGGTCAGTGGAGGAGCTTCACTCACCCTTGTGTTCGTGGATCTTCCCACTGCGTCGTCTTTGTGTTGTGATTGACGAAGTAGACACGATCGTTGGTGTCGACACGGCGCTCTGAGAACATAAACACAACACACTCACAGTCACACACACACAGCACATGTGTGTGTGACCCAGCGGAGCGCTACCTTACCCCAGCCCGGCGGCAGCGGCCCCAGAGGATCGTTCTCAGCAGACATCATGGAGGCCTGGAGACAGAGACAGAGCGTGAGCAGAGCGTGCGGCTGAACCCTGACAGCATCACTGTGTAAACAAGTTCATCACGATCACAGACACAATGATCAGTGTACCGAGTAGAGGTATCTCTGGTTGAACTGGTGCATGGCTCCCTGCAGCTGATTGCGCTGAGACTGCCACTGCTCAAAGTTCCTCACAGACTCCATCGTCGGCCGCTGCCACGTGGTGGTGCGCGTGTTATGATCCACGTAATAAATCCTGCCGCGGTTATCCACCCTCCGCTCCCAGCTACAGTCAGAGACGAGAGTCAGTCACCAACACAGACAAGCAACACTGCTAACATCACTACACACCTGTACAAATAACAAACACTTCATTTCTATTGAACTGAGCAGCAGATCCTCACTGCACATCCATCTGCACTCTCTAGCAGAAGGACATCATAATTATGTTTTAAACATGTTTCCTGAACACTTCTCCATCACTCCTGCCCCAAACTCACATCGCTTGCCGTGTCAGACTTTGACATGTTGATCAATAATAATCTACTGTAACGGTGAGGCCACTGCGCCGTCATACCGGGATTCACAAATCATCTGATCTCAGAAAGACGCCTCGTATGCATTACAGATGTCAAAGTGCTCATTCTGGAATCTGAATACAGATTTATGCTTTTCAGCTTAATTCACTTTGTATTCACTGTTATTCACTGTTTTTGTGTAATGTTTTTTTTAGTATGGCAATAAGTGTAAATGTTTCACCACTGTTTTCGTTAACATTTAATGCACTGAAATATGAAAGCCACATGTGATGCCTGTGCGACCTGACGGGCCTGTAGCCCTGAAATTATGAGTATTTCAGTCATAAACAGCGGTGAGCGGGTCGAGCCGCTTGATCAGACGTCAAATCAAACTCTGCGCTGAGACTCCAGAGTATCTGAACACACTTCAGCTGCGGTGTGTGTGTTGTCAGGCGTCTCACCCCATTGGTAAGGGCTGCGGTCGCTCCCAGGTGGTTGTTTTTGAGTTGTGATCAACGTAGTACGTTCTGCCGTGAGGATCCTTCCTCTGCTCCCACCTGAGAAACACACACGCTCGCTCAGATTACAGCGCAATGTGTGTGTGTGTTGTGATAGTGTGTGTGAGAGAGTGTGTGAGTGAGAGTGTGTGTGAGTGAGAGTGAGTGAGTGTGTGTGTGAGTGTGTGAGTGTGTGTGTGAGAGTGTGTGAGTGAGAGTGTGTGTGAGTGAGAGAGAGAGAGAGAGTGTGTGAGTGAGTATGTGGGTGTTTGTCTGTGTGTGTGTTTGTCTGTGTGTGTGTGTGTGTGTGTCTGTGGGTGTTTGTCTGTGTGTGTGTCTGTGGGTGTGTGAGTGTGTGTGTCTGTGAGTGTGTGTGCGCGTGTGTGTCTGTGAGTGTGTGTGTGTGAGAGGGAGAGTCTGACCCGGGTGGCAGTGGCTCTGGCCCGGCTGGAGGCGGCTGTTGTGGTGGTTTTCCTCCGTCAGGTGCAGACGGGTTGGAGCTGGAGCTGGAAGCAGCAGCAGTCTGTGTGGTGGCCGCTACAGATGAGGAAGAGGGGGGTGGTGATGATGAGGCAGCAGCACCACCTGCAGGAGAGGAGGGAGTACTGCAGGGAACATCAGCAGCAATGTCCTCATTATCACCCACAGATGACATCTCACAACCCTCGCCGTTCACTGACAGACAGACAGACAGACTCTGATGATCCTGCATGTGTGCTAAAGCTAACACTCCCAGACAAGCTGAGTAACATTTATCAGCCAAAGCATAGAGATGGGCAGCTGGAATCATCCATCTGGTTTATTTAGAAATATTATTCAAGACGATCATTAGAAAGAACATTCTGTGACATCCACAGGACGAGACGTGTGACTCAATCAAACTCTCACCGGCTGTGCTGATCGCATCACTGCCAGCGGGCTGCAGAGGGGGCGTGGCCTTTGGACTTGGAGTTTGGTGCAAAGGGGAGGAGTCTCTGTCTCCATTGAGGAGGGGGGAGGCACTAAGCTCACTGTTGGCAGATGAGGTGGGCGGAGCTTCATTCTCCAGTCCGTCTGAGCCGTTCACAGATCTGCAGAATCATGTTAGTAACCGTGCATAATTCAGCCAACCGTATATTTAATTCTCTAATGTCAGAAACACTTGCCACACGGGCTGCAGGAGTGTCATGAGGAACCAGAAAACACCTGCAGATTCTCACCTGCTCTGTGTCCTCGCAGAACTCTCGTCTGGGTTCTCATGAAAAGCATCTCCATTCTGATGGACTTCTGGAGACAGACAGACAGACAGGTCACAGACAGCCGCAGTGCTGGAGGTCAGAGGTCAGATTAGGGTTAAGAACGTGCAGGTGCTCTTACTGCTCGCAGTGGTTGGGTTTCCATTGTGCATGTGCTGCGGGTCGAATGAGAGTCCGTCCAGGAAGACTGTGAGTTCACCGGTGGACACGACTCCATTCTTACCGTCCACGGTCAGCGTCAACACCTCGCGCACATTCTCCACTGAAACAACAACACACAACACTCATCGATCTCTACTGTCGCTCTCTGGGCTTCATGAGGAGTTCTGAGCTGACACTAGTGCTCTTCCTGTTAAACAGCACAAACCATCATCATCTGTTTAATCATGAATAATGTTTCTGGCACGTGTAAACTAGCAGACAGCAGGACACATGTTCAGAGGCGTGCTGTGACGTACGTTTGCCGTCGTGTTTCCGGAGTGTCCCGCTAACGTCCAGCGAGGCTTTTCCCAGCAGCACGTCGGCCTTCAGCGTGTGATGACTCCAGACTCTGGTGACATTAATTAATCTCAATGCTTTAGAAGTGATCAGGATCTGCTCGCTGCTGATATCTGTATATGAGTGTTAGGAATCAGCTCTGCCCGCTGGTTCAGAGAAGTTAGGGTTGGTTCAGAGATGTTTGTTTATCGGTCTGTCTCTCTGTGGCCTGTTACCGGCGCCCGTTAATGACTTCACAGACGCACAAATGATCGTAAATGAGTTTTACATTCGTTCATTGATCATCACTGTCCGTGGATCCGATTCTGTTGTGCAATTCAGTGACTAAACGCCGATGATTTTCCGCAGTTTCTCCGCGCACTCATGCTAACAGGCTAACAGATTAGCGTCACGGCTAACGGCGCGATCAGACGCACATAACTGTCACCGCTAACAAACACACACTGCTGTGACTCTCACACTGTCCTGACACACACCTGTGCGTCTCTCACACACGCCTTCAGGTGTGTTTGTGTGTGTCTGTCGGGAATCGGGTTTAATCTGGATCAGGCCTGTAGCCGCACCGCCATTTTCACATTTTAGCCTGCAGAGTAAACCGCGAAACTCTGCAGTGACAGTAAAAAGCGTTAAACGGGTCGATGACGTTTAACTAATCAGACAAACAGTTTAACTCACCAGACGCTGCTGCGGGTCTGCCATCTAACCGACTGAACCGAGCTGAGCAGAGCACGCGCCTCCTACTGACACACACACACACACACACTGACTCACAGCGTCAGACGTTCCTCCCATTTGGGGCTGGATGAACTGTGGGATTTGGCGGTTTTCTTGCTCTCCCCCTCTGATGTCACTTCCACATAGATGGCCGTTCCGAACCAGTTCTTCTTCCTCTTGAGTTTGGCACATGAAACTAACACATAACACGACACACACTCAGCATCTGAAGAAAACGTGTCACTTCCTGTTCCTGTTGTGTTGTCTTACCGACGGCATGCAGCTGAGAGCGTTCTCTGTCGCTTCTGGAGGAGCCCGTGGCCATGACCTCAAACACACGACACACGCCATCAAATACAGGACCTGAATGAACACATGCTCAACCCATCGGCCCACGAGCCAATCGTCACTAATAACATTAGACTTCTTCACACACAGTTTCAGACCGCGTCTAACGTCTCAATCCTTTCACTAACAGCTTTCTACTCACTACAGTGCTTCACAATTAAGTTAATATATTGTATAAAATTGTAATGCTTTTACTTGAATCAAAAGAGCATTTTATCTTTATAAACTAATAGTTTGTTCATGTCCACAAAACCAGTGAACAAGGCCCAATCTCTCAGAAAACACATGAAGTGTTTAAATCAGAAGGATAAACTCAGGGTAGAAAACACAGAAACTTCAACCTTAGGAAACATTATAAAATAAAACAATAGTTCATTACTCCTCTCAACGGATTCACATCCAACTGACCCATCAGCACCTCGTCATCTCCAAACCATCCAACAGAATATAACACTTAGATTAAATCTGATCAACTCACAATAGCTGTGCGTGAGACGCCTGTGCTTCTTCAGCCGTCACTGTGAGCCATGATTCACTGCAACACAAGAGATCCACATCAGCACAATCATGAAGACCTGCTCCAATCACAGCTTTAATCAGCTTAACCAGCAGTTCATGAAAGACAGACAGACAGACAGATGAAGGACAGACAGACAGACAGACAGATGAAGGACAGACAGACAGACAGACAGATGAAGGACAGACAGACAGACAGACAGATGAAGGACAGACAGACAGACAGACAGATGAAGGACAGACAGACAGACAGACAGATGAAGGACAGACAGACAGACAGACAGATGAAGGACAGACACACACTGACACACACACACACACACACTGAGAGACACTCACACTGACACACACACACACTGACACACACACACACTGAGAGACACTCACACTGACACACACACACACTGACACAGACACACACTGAGAGACACTCACACTGACACACACACACACACTGACACACACACACACTGACACAGACACACACTGAGAGAAACTGACACACACACACACACACTGAGAGACTCACACTGACACACACACACTGAGAGACATACACTGAGACACACAGTCACACACTGACACACACACACTCACACACTGAGACACACAGTCACACACTGAGACACAGTCACACACACACACACACACACACACTGAGACACACACACACACACTGAGAGACACACTCACACTGAGACACACAATCACACACTGACACACACTGAGAGACACACTCACACTGAGACACACAATCACACACTGACACACACTGAGAGACACACTCACACTGAGACACACAATCACACACTGACACACACTGAGAGACACACTCACACTGAGACACACAATCACACACTGACACACACTGAGAGACACACTCACACTGAGACACACAATCACACACTGACACACACTGAGAGACACACTCACACTGAGACACACAATCACACACTGACACACACTGAGAGACACACTCACACTGAGACACACAATCACACACTGACACACACTGAGAGACACACTCACACTGAGACACACAATCACACACTGACACACACTGAGAGACACACTCACACTGAGACACACAATCACACACTGACACACACTGAGAGACACACTCACACTGAGACACACAATCACACACTGACACACACTGAGAGACACACTCACACTGAGACACACAATCACACACTGACACACACTGAGAGACACACTCACACTGAGACACACAATCACACACTGACACACACTGAGAGACACACTCACACTGAGACACACAATCACACACTGACACACACTGAGAGACACACTCACACTGAGACACACAATCACACACTGACACACACTGAGAGACACACTCACACTGAGACACACAATCACACACTGACACACACTGAGAGACACACTCACACTGAGACACACAATCACACACTGACACACACTGAGAGACACACTCACACTGAGACACACAATCACACACTGACACACACTGAGAGACACACTCACACTGAGACACACAATCACACACTGACACACACTGAGAGACACACTCACACTGAGACACACAATCACACACTGACACACACTGAGAGACACACTCACACTGAGACACACAATCACACACTGACACACACTGAGAGACACACTCACACTGAGACACACAATCACACACTGACACACACTGAGAGACACACTCACACTGAGACACACAATCACACACTGACACACACTGAGAGACACACTCACACTGAGACACACAATCACACACTGACACACACTGAGAGACACACTCACACTGAGACACACAATCACACACTGACACACACTGAGAGACACACTCACACTGAGACACACAATCACACACTGACACACACTGAGAGACACACTCACACTGAGACACACAATCACACACTGACACACACTGAGAGACACACTCACACTGAGACACACAATCACACACTGACACACACTGAGAGACACACTCACACTGAGACACACAATCACACACTGACACACACTGAGAGACACACTCACACTGAGACACACAATCACACACTGACACACACTGAGAGACACACTCACACTGAGACACACAATCACACACTGACACACACTGAGAGACACACTCACACTGAGACACACAATCACACACTGACACACACTGAGAGACACACTCACACTGAGACACACAATCACACACTGACACACACTGAGAGACACACTCACACTGAGACACACAATCACACACTGACACACACTGAGAGACACACTCACACTGAGACACACAATCACACACTGACACACACTGAGAGACACACTCACACTGAGACACACAATCACACACTGACACACACTGAGAGACACACTCACACTGAGACACACAATCACACACTGACACACACTGAGAGACACACTCACACTGAGACACACAATCACACACTGACACACACTGAGAGACACACTCACACTGAGACACACAATCACACACTGACACACACTGAGAGACACACTCACACTGAGACACACAATCACACACTGACACACACTGAGAGACACACTCACACTGAGACACACAATCACACACTGACACACACTGAGAGACACACTCACACTGAGACACACAATCACACACTGACACACACTGAGAGACACACTCACACTGAGACACACAATCACACACTGACACACACTGAGAGACACACTCACACTGAGACACACAATCACACACTGACACACACTGAGAGACACACTCACACTGAGACACACAATCACACACTGACACACACTGAGAGACACACTCACACTGAGACACACAATCACACACTGACACACACTGAGAGACACACTCACACTGAGACACACAATCACACACTGACACACACTGAGAGACACACTCACACTGAGACACACAATCACACACTGACACACACTGAGAGACACACTCACACTGAGACACACAATCACACACTGACACACACTGAGAGACACACTCACACTGAGACACACAATCACACACTGACACACACTGAGAGACACACTCACACTGAGACACACAATCACACACTGACACACACTGAGAGACACACTCACACTGAGACACACAATCACACACTGACACACACTGAGAGACACACTCACACTGAGACACACAATCACACACTGACACACACTGAGAGACACACTCACACTGAGACACACAATCACACACTGACACACACTGAGAGACACACTCACACTGAGACACACAATCACACACTGACACACACTGAGAGACACACTCACACTGAGACACACAATCACACACTGACACACACTGAGAGACACACTCACACTGAGACACACAATCACACACTGACACACACTGAGAGACACACTCACACTGAGACACACAATCACACACTGACACACACTGAGAGACACACTCACACTGAGACACACAATCACACACTGACACACACTGAGAGACACACTCACACTGAGACACACAATCACACACTGACACACACTGAGAGACACACTCACACTGAGACACACACACACTGAGAGACACACTCACACTGAGACACACACACACACACTCACACTGAGACACACACTCACACACTGAGACACAGTCACACACACACTGAGACACAGTCACACACTGAGAGACACACTCACACTGAGACACACACACACACACACACACTGAGAGACACACTCACACTGAGACACACAGTCACACACTGACACACACACAGTCACACACTGAGACACAGTCACGCACTGACACACTCACACACACACTGAGACACACTCACACTGAGACACACACTCACACACACACACTGAGACACACAGTCACGCACTGACACACTCACACACACACTGAGAGACACACTCACACACTGACACACACACACTGAGACACAGTCACACACACACACACACACTCACACTGAGACACAGTCACACACACACAAACACACAGTCATCAATACACACATTCAGAAACACACATCTGCACACCATATTCAGCAGTTTGTAGGTGACAAAAACGACTCCGTTAAACATTGC